AGAATATCGAAAAAACTTAACAAAATATCATATTTATATATTTCTATATTAGAAATAACAGAAAATAGAAATACACAAATATGATATCCCGTTTTCGTAAATTTTCGTTTGGATATCAGTAAAAATGTAAAAGCTACTTTAATTCTATAATTATGCACAATACTGTAATTGTTAATTGCCGGAGTTTTATGCAAAATGAAAATTGTTTGCACTAATCATGAGATACAGGAACAATATACAGATATTCCTTTCGTACCTTAAGGATTTTAATAAGTTTTCAGTATTTCTAATAACAGTATTTCTAAATTCTTTAAATGAGCTTGCCGTTTTATATCGGAGCAACTCATTTTTTACATAAATGCATAAAATGTACAGTCTAATCATTACATAAAGTTTGGTTAGTATATTAAAGTGTGTGCATAAATATTTGGTTGACAGAAATATGTTATTATCATTTTCATCTGGCTCACGCGTTTCTTATAGTCAACATACACTGGTGTGCATAATTAATAACAAAATACCATATTTGTATACATTCTATTTTCTATTATTTCTAAATAGGGATATACAAACACGGTGTTCTGTTAAGTTTTTGTTTAAACGTCGCTAAAGATGTCAAAATTACATTGACTCTGTAATTATTCACACCGCTGTAGACAATTTTTATTTCGTTTGAAAATTCTCCTTTTAGTCACAAATTATCCTTTGCACCCAATCGGACTACGGAAATCATTAGCGAACATCTTCGAACAAAATATTCCAGACAACTCGATCCAAGCACGTAGTTCCTGCACCTAGCCTAACACGGCTACCAATCTAAATTAATCGCTACCAGCTGTTCGATGATGTTTTTCAAAGATGGAGAACACGGGAGACGTTCTATTTCAAATCTAACCGACTTGCCAATTTCTCAGATTCGTTTACATCATGCACCGAACGATTATACAGTTGCGGAGAAAATTGAGTGAAGAAGGTAGAGAGAAAAGATATCAATGAAATTAGAATGAGTTATAAATTCATTGATTAATTTTATCGTTGTTATACAATCCATATACTATAAAGATACAGACTATGTAAAAGTTAAGTTCGCAATGATA